GCAGGGATAGTAATAAAAACAGAGGTTGTAAGATTAGAAGGTCACTGGAATAGCACAGGGTGTTGCAAAAATGGCTGGGTCACTGATGTAACTTGGGTACTGTATACAAATAAGATTTGCAGTACAAATTGTTGTGTATTATTAATAGGAACCAAATATGGAAATAATTAGGTTATGTTAAATGAATTTTTATTTATAGATAGGTTACAGAAATTTTTATGTAAATTAATAAAGTACGGATTGGAAAGTGATAGTATGATTACACGAAAAATGTGTAAGGGAAAAAGGGGGCAGGTAGAAACAAAAATAGGAGAAAGAAAAAGTTTTACAAGAGAGTAAAAGAGAAATTTCATTATAATTTAGCCAATATTAGGCCAAAATTCTTCGTTTAGAGCTTGTTTTGATCGGGCAAATGTGTATTATAACTTTAATTAAGGGTGTAAAATATGTTATTGCAATAGAAACTGCGAAAAAAATTAATTGTTAAAACTGGGACCAAAGGTTGTCAGTACAGTTTTCTCAATGAGTTTAAAAGCTAAAAGTATAATACTTGCAAGATATATATAAAATTCTGAGCTAAACAAGTTTACCTAAGACACTAGGACAGGTTGTCTTAGTAAAATAAATAGTTATAAGAGTTTTTGTATAAATGATTTTTTAGTTACTTTTTTGTGCAATGGATTTGCAGAAAGAGTTTTCAACAGTAAAAATTTAGATAATCACCTATATAATATTTGTATTATAGCAACTATTATTAATAATTAGATTAGAATATCTGTAATAGCAGTTGCATCAGTATAACTGGCAGATTATAGACATCTGTATATATATGGCATTATACAAAGGAATGCAAACTGACAAATTGGGTAATGTAAATACTAGATAAGTTCTTATGATTATATAAATTTATTGAAATTGAATAACAAAAAGTTCATTTAGAAAGACCCAAGTAGAGAGGTATTAGATCTTTAATGGCTCTACTATAAAGGCTAGTTTGGGAAAATAAATACCAAAATTGTAATATCTGATCATAGTAGCCAAATAGGCAAGAACTTTTAGATTGGAAATTTGAAAGATATTACCAACCAGACCACTGAAATGAACTGAAAAAAACAGATATCAAGCTGATCTAATATACTAATAGACTGGTTATAGTTTTATACAGGTTATCTGGATTGAAAATTTGGTAAAAAAGCAAATAAAAAAGCAGAAGTAAACTAAAATACCAAGATTATACTATAAAGTAGATGCTAAGATTTAAGTGAACTCTACAAGAGCATAATGATTTAATGGTTAAACCCTAATTGTAAGTGTTGGTTCTGCTATAGTGATACTTAGATTAACTGTAAAAATAGATACAGAAGGCTTTGAAGATTTATCTTAAGAATAAATTAGTTTTAAAGTTGAGATGATGATTTGAGCATCTGAATATAACCCAGTAAGTTAACACAAGTTACAAGTTCAGAAGATTTAAAATAGAACACCCAAACAAGAGTGTTAGATATAACAATTAGTAGGAAACTTTCGAGCAGACTTCTTAAATAGATAATATAAAAAAGTTACATGTGTAACCAATTGTATGCTCTTCTGTAATAGTTCATTGAACCAAATATCAATAAGTATTAACAAAAGTCAAAAGACCAAAAAGGTCACCTTAATATCAAAAAAAAAAAATAAAATAAATAATTTTGTAAAAATATATATAAAACCTTTTCTATCTACTAAAATTAAATAAAAATCAACAGTTACTGTTAAGTTTAAAAAAAAATTAAAAAAATAAAAATCTACTTTATAACAATATTATTAATTACTTTAAACCTTATAATTGTCAAATAATTAACTCTAAAAGTGTAAAACATAGTTAATTAACATTTCTCTAAAGAGCTATATTGAGCATATAAATGTCAGCTCTCTAACTAGATTGTAAATAAAAACAAAATTTAAGTAAATTCAGAATTTTCAATATAACTAGCATTTTAGGTTGAATTTATCATATGTAAACCCATACCTTAACCCTAATTTAACTAGGAAATTCCAAATCTACTTAAATTCTGTAAAAAAATGATATTACGGAGAATTTGATGCTATTTCGATCAAAGAAAGTTTAGATCTTTGGCTTTCTTTTGAATATTAGATCATCAAAAAAGGTATTAATTTTTTTAAAATATCAATCCACTTGATTTCTATTGATGGCAACCTATATTCATTGATGTTCGAATATGTATACCATTCATCGGATCCGATGTCTAGATCGCGTGATAATTGATCTCTCCAAATTTAATTTCTGATCTCTTTGTAAATTTTTATTTACATGAAAATATCTCAATGACTAACTAGTTAGTTAAGTTTGATGAATTCTTTATTTTGATTTTAGAAATTTGCAGAATCAAATAAAAACATTCTCCGAATTTGGCTAAATGGTTGTCGAGATATCTTCGCTCAAAGTCTTGAGAAATTTCAAAACGTCAAAATATTTACTATAGTAAATTTTTTTGAAACTTTAAAAGAAGATATCTCGATAACCACCTAATCAGATTCGATGAACTTTTTTCATTTTGATCCTATGAATGTGTAGAATCAAAAAAAAAAAAATTTAACTAGGCGGTTAAGATATCTTTGCTCTATCAAAATATTAAGTTTTTTTGAAACTTCAAAGGTATCTCGACATCATTTAGCCAAGTTAAAATGACAATTTTTTTATTATAATTTTATGAATGTGTAAAATCAAAGCAAAAAAATATATTGAATTTAACTACGCAGTTGTCGAGATATCTTTGCTCAAATTATTGAGAAAATTTGACTGTAGTAATATTTTTTGAAACTTTGAGCGAAGATATCGCTAACGGAATTCGATGATTTTTTTTATTTTTATTTTACAAATATGTAGAATCAAAATAGAAAAATTAACTAGTTAGTTATTGAGATATCTTCATGCAACATTAGAAACGTTTAAAATTTAGTTCACATAAAAAATCGGAAATTAAATTCGGATGGATCTACAATCACGTGGCAGACATTTTCTGCAGTGACTGGTCTAATAGCATCATCTAGTGTAATAAAATATATCATATTCACGCGTTTTTCGCGTAAACACTTTTAAGCTAAAAAAAATTATTCAAGACAACGACACAACTTTCTAACTCTTTAAAAAGCTTCACAATGACTACTTCAGCTCCCGCAGCAGTTACTGATTCTATCGACCAATTGGAGGACTCAGGGGCTAGTAACGAAACAGATTCGGGTGATGAAAGCCCAATTGGGGTTACTGTACGCTTGTGGACTTTAATTGCTTTGTTTAAATTAATTCTTTTTAGACATTGGATGGTCATCTCTGTCGATACTAATTTGTAATGATGAAATTGTTGATAGGAAATTGACCAGGCAACCATTACCGAATCCGAAAGAAAAAAAAATTCAGAATTTTTTTGTGGTAGGGGTTCTAAAACACCTGAAAGATACATGAAAATTAGGAATTTCATTCTTAATGCGTGGAATAGCAATAAACCAAAATATGTATCCAAGACAAGCGTCAGATCAGGGCTCAAGGTGTATATTGCATTGTGTAATATTTGAATGGTGTATATGTTTGATATCTAAATCTGCATTTTTTTGTCACATAGGATTGTGGGGACGTGAATGCTATCGGTCGTGTTCATTCATATTTAGAATTAATAGGCGCAATTAATGTTGGCGATGATCTAGTAAAGAGAAAGCAACGAACTTTCAAGCCAAAAGTACTTTATGACGCGGGTAAAAGTGCTAGCGTAATTAAAAAAAGAAAAGGGAAGGCTGCGTTAGCGGATGAAAATTGGACTCTTCACGGGTTAATTAAGATTTTTCATTAAAATTTTGCTGATATTGACATATATACTTTAATTTAATCTATTTGTTCAATGAAGACGAGGTAAAAAGAGTCGTAATGAAGAAAGGTATGAATTAGATTAAAGTGTTATTATCAATTTTAATAGCTCTAATGAAATTTTGAATTTTTAAAAGAGAAAGTCCAAATGAATACGACGATGATGGAGAGGAAGGGGCTCCAGGTACAATCCCTTGCAAAATTGTCTGTCATTTCGAACTTTAAGTGTTATTAAATATTCATACCTTTTTTAGACGACAGTCAAATACGCAGAAGCAAGCGAAATCGTACCAGTACAAAAGGAGGCCGTATTAATTATAACGAAATATCCTTTATTATTTTAAGTATAAATTGTTCAGAATCGAGATAATACTTTTCCTTAACATATAATGTTACGATGTTTTAGCATACGACATGGTCGGTTCCTATGATCCTTTCAGATTGGTACCACCACTTAATTATACGTCAAGAAATCCAGCGCCATTTCGTGTATCGGTTACAGCAAATGTCATGGTATACCTGATAAATCTATGTTTTAATTACAATATTTTACAAAAATTAACACTATATACATAATATACATAATAATAGCTTGTAATGGATTTTCATGCTCATTTGGCTCATACGGAAATCATCGGTTTACTCGGTGGACATTTTCATCCAGATAGTGAAAGCATGGAAGTGACATACGTATTTCCATGCAGAAGTGCTAGCACTGGATTTCAGGTGTTTACGCATTATTGTATCATAATATAATAAAATAACTTTCGAAATGTTGTAATCTTACATTTGCGGCTTATTTAGTGCGAAATGGATCCAGCATCTGAAGTTGCTGCAAGGGAAGTTTTCGCTGAAAAAGGTCTTCAATTTGTTGGATGGTATCATTCACATCCGACATTTGAACCTCAACCTTCTGTTCGTGATATTGAAAACCAAACGCAGTATCAGGTATCATTAATGAGATACGTATTAAATTCATGACCCATAATAAAAAGCCATAATTTAAAATTATTACATGTATCATACAGGAAATGTGGCGACGTGAAGATGGTGTGGAACCTTTTATTGGCGTTATTGTGACGCCGTATGATGCTGGACACGAATCTAATGTATCCAGATTTCAATTCTGGGTGAGCGGAACAAACTATGACCTTTCGGGGCAATTTAGTAAGCATCAAAATCTTAATCTCATTGGATATTAATTATGTGTTTCTGCAGTTTTAAGTGGTTATTTGTATATTCTTTATTATATCAGGAACACCTTATTCATGCCAACATTCGGTATCACCAAGTGCAAGTTTACCCGAGGAAATGTTTACACAATTATCTGAGCTGATCGAGGAATACCAAAATTATGATCAGTAAGTGTGTTGTTGATTGTATAATTAATTTGACATTAAAGCATTTATTTCTTTTTCATAATAAATATAAATATAGCACGACAATGGTCATGATAATGCTATTGTAACAATGCATAATTTTGACTAACAATTATTGTCATCATTAAGGCGAGTTGACATGACCGAATCCTTTAGAAATGAGGACGATGTCTCGCGCCTTGATAAAATGCTAGAATCGTTATCATCGCATATATCTGTTGCTTCTTCCGCAGCCGAGAGTTTTATTTCTCGGGTAAGAGAACTTATGAATGCAAACTTCCGTCCAGACAAGAAGGGTAATGCGGAATGTCATGATAATACTGATTCAATAATAAAAAAAGGACAAGAATAATACTTTGACATACAATTAGTTGGTGGGGTAATAATTTTAAAGTTTATATGTTATGTTCTGTTATTTCCTTTTTTGTTTACATTTTGTTTTTTTTCATTATTGGACAAGATTGTTGGGGTTGGCTTTGTGTATGAATGCATCGGATTTTTTCATTGTATCCAAAGCATGATTTTCTACTTTTTTTTTTTTTTTGTGTTTCAAGATTTTCGTCCAACATGATACATAAAAGTAAATTTCAGCCCAAACCGTCCCCAACAGTAAACTTGCAGACTAGTTATATTCGTTTAGTTATTATGTTTGTATGTGGAAAGATGTGGAAAGTGGTGGCACGATGTGTGATGAGACAAAGATAAGTCATAGACCCCTTGTATCATTCGCGAAACTTTCTCAATCTACGTATAACTATTACTGTGCTTGAAAGTAAAGCAATTACTCATTTTGTGTCCTTGCATACAGTAATCGTTAGTTTGGCTGTCTAATCGTAGCCACTGCTTTTATACTTATTGCAAGGGAAGAAAAGAAGCGAGGATTTATACATAACAAATAATATAATACACAATATAAAAAATCAATGCACTAGAAAATCTTCTTAGACATTTCTATATATAAATTTTTTTTTTTTTTTTTTACGTCCAATAGTTTGATTTTTACGAGCCTGTAGCATTTTATTTGGTTTTATTCTATTTCTACGGTGACCTTTGCTTCACTTTTGCATCCGTTTTTATCTATCACGACCATACCATACATTTGTAAAATACATGTTTAGTTTGGTCTAGTTTATACATAGTGAAGCCTCAAGAAATTGAGATAGAACAAGTTTACTTATAAACCTTCTTCAGAAGTTACTTTTATAAAAATGCCCGGAACCGAGATGTTAAATGAATCATACGAAGTAAATGAAATAAATGAAGTAAATGAAGTAAATGAAGTAAATGAGCAGGAAGGTTTACCAACGGATGTAGCAAGTATTCTTCCTTTAATGCTCCAAGCTCAAGATCTTATCAGTAAACTCGAAAGTCGTGTATTTGAACTGGAAAATGACCTTGAGGTGTGTAAACCAAATAAAATAACCGTTGTTATATTGCAGAGAAATATATACAATTGAAATTACAATTCAGAGGTTCAACATTTGATTTTTCGTTCTGAAAATTCATATGTTAGCGCGTATATAATCAAATCTAATTAATAAAATTCAAACAATTTTTTTAATATAAAATCAGACCATAAATGAAGCTCATGAACATGAACGAGATCAATTACTCCAAGAAATTGGCGAAAAAGATGAATACATTCATAACTTAAAAACCAAAGCTAGTCGCCTTGAGTTTGGAGCTAGGGAGGCCATAATTGTTTTATCAAGAACTGTAGAGATGCTTAAAGCACAAAGCCTTGAAGACGAAGAAGAGGTTAGCAAGGACGATGACGATAATGCCACAGCAGTAGAATCAACTGATTTGGAAGGACAATTCCTAGATAGTATTAAATTATGTTTAAATTATTTAAAATGTACCCAAAATAATCAACAAGCACCAAAATATTCCAAAAAATCGTTACCATCAGTACGGCGTGATTCAAAACTTCAACCATCTAATGATGATGGATATGAATCTGATCACAGAGTTGAAATTGTTCCTCCTCAACATGATCCTCTACCTAATAACATTGTATCTAATCACCTTGTACCTAATCACGATGTGCAAAAAGAGGAGGTGAATGACGATTCCGTAGAAAATGATGTAAATAATAACCTTTTGATCCCTCATAGTAGTTCAAGAAGGGAATCTTTTAGTAGCAGCCAAATTTCGCTGGACGATATGCCAGATCTTGATGAATATGATTTAGATGGTTCAGAAGATATTGCAGATTTTGATATTCCCATGTCGGATGATGACGATGAAAATGATGATAACAATAATAATAACAATAATGATAACAATAATGATAACAATTTAACAACGCCATACCGATCAATTCCAAGAAGGTCAATTGACAGTGCGCTCGAAGAAGAGGAGCGAGTACGACGCGAAGAACATCTAATCAAATTTAATAATCACGAAACAAATACTTTTCATAAGAGATTTGAAGAAATCGAAGATGAAAGTACAGATGGTGATTATTCAGATGATGATGACGAAGATCAACATCACCTTATCCATGACAGCTTGCCATCTCCAGGCCCAGTACCTGACGTTCTACAAAATACAAACGCCTGTCCCAATTGTAATATGTTGCTTGCTCAAGTTGATCAACATGTTGAAGAACGTGCCTATCTTAAGCGTGATCTTTCTGCGTTAGCATTATCTCTTGCGGAAGAACAAACTCTTCGTTCTCAAATTCAAGCTAGTAAAGAAAGCTTGGAACAAGAAATAGATGACTGGATAAACGCTATGTTTGAGAAAGTTAATCAGATGGTATTTGACGAAGCCAATACACGTGAAGAATTGGAATGCTTGAACAGAGAGACTAAAGGAAAAATGGATAATTCATTGAAATCATCAGAAAGTAGACAAGATCGATTAAGAGAAATGAAATTGTTGTTAGTCCATTTAGATTCTACAAAACAGAGACAGACGGCACCAACACAAAATGGAGCACCATTAAACAGAAATTCTATTGTCCGTCGAAGTTTATTATCTAATTCTACTACAAATAGTCCAAGAGCAAGTAGGATATTCGGTCATATGTCACCTAATATATTTTCGAGCCAATTTTCTGATGAAATATCGTTTTCTCGAGGCAAACGTATCTACATTGACAGTATAGTTTATGAGGAATTTCAAGAATATGTAAAATTACTTACAAATTCTCCTACGCCCATTAATTCTAATCCTACACATCCATTCATGAAGCGTTGCATGAATGAAGATATCCAACCGTGCTTATTTGAAGGACATACAGGATGGAAATCACCATTTTATAAAAGACGTTTATTAGATGCTATTATGAAAAATCAATGTGAAATTCAAAAAATACATTATAATTATTCAAGCTCTGTTCATAGTACACCTAATAACAGCCAAATTAGCAATTCAACATCGAACACACGACAGAGCAATTATAATGAACCACCACCAGCACCGAAACTTAAATGTGGTCTTTGTGGTCATCTTAGAAGTTGTGATTTCCGCATGCGAATTTCTGGAGCAGATGTTGCAGTACCACCATTGACAACCATGACCTCATCATCACGTTTTTCAAGCATAGGAAGTCCAGGATGGATTCCGCTTGATAGATTCTGTCGAGATCGTATCGTTGCTGTGTGTGATTTCTATACCTATATTTCACATTTACGTAAAGGATTACTTGCCAATTCACCAGTGTGGGGAATGTATAAGCAATGTCTCAAGTATCGCAGAAAGATGAGTATGGCACGCGTTAGTAGTGTGAGTATGTTTGAAGAGGAAGATGCTATTATTAATGATTATTTAAGCAATTCTGAAATGGAAGGAATGGTCGTGCTTGTGAATTAAGAAAAGACTCCAACGGAATATTTTGGACAATAGACGACAGAGAAGAAAATAAATTATTTATTATTATAACCATTTATATATTTATATATCTCTGTCATTTTATTATATGAATGCTTGGATCCTTATTTAATGGGAAAGGATTTTTTTTTTTTTTTTTGTGTAGAGGATCGAAATGAAAACATAAAACTGTTTAAAATATTCGATGTACATGTAATAATATTTATTATATATATATATTTTTTAAAACAAATTTTAACAATATTAAAAAATAAAACTTAGTGATAAATAGGGTCATATAGTGTACATATATATATATATTGTAGAAGCAGGTTCTTTTGCTGATCGACTACCTTCTACAGGCTCGTATATAAATATATATATATATGTAATATACAATTTAGAATCGACTATATATAGGTTATAAAAAATTTATGTTCTTTATGAGAAAAATCTAAATTTAGTTTTTTTTTTTTTTTTTTTTTATTCAACCTTTAAAACCATGAATAAACGGGTAACGATAAACGAAAAAAAAACTTAACGTTAACTTACATGATAATAAGGATGAGTTATTTTTATACGTAAAATGATGTTGACAACAAATCGATAACAAAGTGATTCATGTATGCAAAGGTACATCATGCCATGCTTGAATAACTCTGCAAATAAATTAAATAAATTACAATAATGTATGATATTTATTTTAATAACCATTTTTATAACCATTGCTAGTATTCTAAGTATCCTAAATATTTTAAAAAACTTGTTCGTTACATATAAAACTCGTGAAAACTTGAATACTTTTTTAAGTGAATTTGTATGTTTTTTATTTATAAAAAATATATATCTTTATCGATTTACATCAGCCATTTTTTTCAAAATCAAAAACGTTAACTATTTAATACCTATATAAATCAATACCTGAAAAGGGAAAACAATCCTTAGTCCTTGAGTCAACAAGAACTATTTTAAGAAATATAAAGTTGCTGTTAACTACTACTATTGAATTTTTTTTTTAAAGAAAGAAAAAATTGGTTACAAGAAAAGGGAAAGCGGAGAAGGTACTATGTATATTGCAAAGGTGTTGTATGTGGTGAATAAAAAAAATATATATATATTAACAACCAATCGAAGAATGCCTCTTTTTTTTTTTTTTTATAGTTGTATGAGAGCAATCAATCGAATGGAAAATGAAAAAAAATGATACATGAACGAAGTTTTTTTTTTCTTTTTTGTTTTTTAATAAAGAACATAAATCAAAACTATATATTTCATAAGTTGTAAAAATTCTTTTTTTAAAATATAAACAATTATTCATTCCCATATCAAACGAGATGAATCGACCAATGCTCTTTTTTTTTTTTTAAGGGGAAGGGAGGAATATAAATGAAAGTTCAGCCAATTGAAATCTGTACAATAAGAGTACAGACAAACAAAGAAATCATTAAAATATCAAATAATTACTTTTTTACTTCTTTTCAGGGGATTGGTTCGGATATTGAGGGACTTTATTTCCTCCAGGACCCCAATATTGTTGCATGTAAGGATTATTCGGTGCATATTGATTTAAGTGTTGCTGACCATATTGTGGATATCCAGCGGATGGCATATATTGTGAAGCAATACCACTTGTTCCTAAAGTCATATTGGGAATTCCACTATATTGATTGTAGGGACTTAAGCCAAGAGCGTACGAAGGCTGGGTTTGCGACAACTGACCACCCGAAGTTTGTGGCTAATGAACGAAAAGAATTAGAAAAAAAGTTAATAATTAGCAATGATAATAATAATAATAATCTTAATTAGTAATAATAATAATAATAACAATAATAATAATAACAATAATAATAACAATAATAATAATAGTAATTATTATTATAATTATTATATTGTTATTTTATATTATTATTATTTATTAATCACAATGTGATATATAATACCTTTCTATCATCATTATAGACATCACCATTGGCATCTACAGAAGCAGAACCATCATTTCCGTAGACAGGAGGGTTTTGTGTTGAACGAGTCTGACGGGTTTTAAAATTGATGATGAGAAGGAGGAGTAAGGAGTATATCCAAGTATAAAATAGAACAAGATAGAAATATTTTATAAGCGAAAGGACTTTTATTTAATAGAACATGATACATGAATGACTAAGCCAAGCTTAAAGGTAAGGCTGCATTGCACGAATATGATCAGGAGAAAAATTATGTTTAATATATACCGTATTAGGAGGATCTTGGCCGGATGGAGCGTCGGGAGCGTTTAAACAAGCCTGGATCAAATTTTTTCCTTCAGGCTTGGTGACGAGGGGTTGAAGTTTTGGAGTGGTAAAAGTATAAACCAGACCAGTTTCTGATACAACCAAAAGTAGAACTTGAGTGCCAGTAAGAGTACTTAATTCATAAGCCTAAGATATAAAACAAAAAAGAATAAAGAAAGATTAGCGGAAGAGTAAATAATAAAGGGATATAGTAGAAGTAGAATTTTGAAGAAATAACGTTGATTGATTGTCTTTGTTTGTACACCACTTTTAGTTCTTTAATCAAAAGAGGAAATTTTAATTTAAACACGACGACAAAAATGGCAAGGATGACATTATGCATTTTATACAGATTTAAATTACAAATGAAATAAAGATAGATATATATATATACATATATATAAATATATATAAGGCCGAGAGAAAAAAAAAAAAAAAAAAAAAATCAAGAATAACCTTTTTCATTATTCCGGCCTTTCGTTTACTGAAAGTAATGTGACGTCTGCTTTTATCATCGATATATTCAATTTTTATCTTACGACGACCGGCACGTTTTTCACTTTTAGGACTTTCTTCTTCGTTAGATTCGATATCGTCATCGTCTTCAAATTCACGTTTACTAGAACCCTTTAAAGTTGATGGTTCAGCCAAGTCAACGCTGTGACCCGAAGCGTTACTTTGTTTTCGCTGGTTATTTGGACTTGTAAGACCGCTCATGTCTGTGGCGTGCATTCAAAAGTGGTAAGTGGAAAGGACTTTTTTTGGAGGTTGCAGAAATTTTGACAGGTAGCTAACCGGGTAGTGAGTAACCTTTTTGCGTAGTCTGTATGCGTAAAAGGAAGTGAGAATGAAAAAAAGAAAATGAGTTGACCGAAAAGATTCGCCCCTTGTAAATGTTTTGAAAATATTATTGCATCATATCACGTGTACATGTGAATAATAAGATACGAGTGACACGGAGAATGTAACACACAAAAATATGGGGGGATGAGAAAGAACCAATAGATAAACGACCAACAATGCGACTAACTGCGCCACAGACAATAAAATCTGGGAGGACAGAAATCAAGTCAAAGACTATATAGGAGGAAAAGAAATTATAAGATTTTAAAGCAAAAATAATTAAAGAAATGAAAAAATGAATGTATGCGCTGTATTTGTGGGGGATTGGTTCGGCAAGAAACGAGATGATGAACAAGATGAGTGTAAGACGAATGGATGATTACGGAAACTTGACATGCCGAATATGAGGCAAATGGAAATTCAAGAAAAAAAAGAATTCGCGAAAAGAGAAATAAGTAGATGATAAATTGTTAGATGAAAAAGGAAATTAATCGAGCGATTGAATAAGAGGGCGCGTCGATGCGTTAGAAAGGTTCTCATAGAGCATTTTAAGATATAATTGAGTATCTTATTGAAGAATTTTTGTGAATCTTGAAGCAAGAAAGATGATACACGAAATATGATGCTAAATAACAGACAAGCAAAAAAAAAGAAGAAAAAAAAAACAAAAAAAAAACAAAAAAAGGAATAAAAAAGAAAAAAAGAAAGAAAGAAAGAAATTAGTATAAGAAAAAAACCATTTAGGATAAACTCACATTCTTGAATAACTTTTTTTAGTAGAAAATAGAGATTTTCCCGAGTCACAAGCTTTAGGGCAAAAGCGAAGGAATTTTTGCTGAAGAAAGGGATGAAGTATTTTATTTTTGTTTTTGATAAAGTGCCAAACAGTTGGCTTGAACAAAAAGGGGCAGGAAGACAACAAATTGGACGTAAATGGATTCTGGGTTTTTTTATAACATCCCAATTCTAGTCAAAAGGGTCAGTCAAAAAGTAATTCACATTATTTTTATTCATATTATATTTAAACATATTTTATATTAGACTAATCTCACATAATGTTAAACCGGAAAAGTCGGGGAACCGTACAAAACAATACAATCGACCTCATTGATATTACACAATACAGAAAAAGTAAAAAGGCTTGTTTAATCGGTATACATAAACCTGTTTGTAGGTATACGATGGAATTTCATACACTCTAAGAGAAAATTTCCAGTAATTTTCCTGAAAAGAAACAAACAACCGTTTTTAGAACAGTCAAACTTCTTTGGGAAATTTTTAACACTCCGCCACTGTCCCTCTATATGTTACTCTATATATGTCATTGACTTTTCTCATTGAAGTTGCGTTATCTTTGTGTATCGTCAGTAAAACGTTGTACAAATTATCATGACTCATCCATTTCAACTTGATAAGCACGAAACACAAAATGTTTTTTTTTCCTCATCCCCGGAGGCACTTCACTTTGAAACCGAGGTTTTAATAATTTTAATAATTTGACGTCAATCTTCTAACATTCACCCATTCTTAAACTGTTATTTATATTCATAATAAACTAATTATTATAAACTATTCATTAGTTACATTAGTTACTTATTATTACAAAGTTATCTGCCATACACTCACTGTATTGATTGTATGATTGTATAGATTGTATTGATTGTATTGATTGTATTGATATTATAAACTATCTCACTACCCTGACTCTATATACTGTATATAATTATAAACTATTCATTGTTATTATAACTATAAACTATTTATAACTAACCATTCTTTTATTCTTATTCTATTAATTATTCTACGAATTATTCTATTTATTATTATCTGTAAACTATTTATTAATTATTCCTCACTTCTTTCATATATTTAGAAGATGTGATTACGATAATCGCCTTATTTATTTTTCACGCGTCTTTGGCATTCCAGGAACGAAGGATTAATCATAGAAAACTCGTGTTATGTGTTAGTTCTGTGTTAGTAATACCTTTTTCTACTTTTCATTCCATAACTCCGGTGTAACCGCTTCGTCCCTTTTCAGTTATTTAATTCACTAATTTGGAATTTGAACAACAAACAAAGGTGTATATGTGAAACTCAATCAAAAAACTAGCTCAACCTTTCGTTTCAAGAATCAATTTATATGTATTTGGAAGTCTCTATAGTACAAACTTGATTAAAAAAGAGAACAAAGGAAAATTCATACAGAATATCATTTTTTTAAAAAAATATTAAATCACTTTATCATATGTGAATGCTTTTGGCGTCCTAATGTTGGCATCTGATGAGAAGATGTCGTGAAACAGATTTTAATTGATTTGGGGTTAGTTGCATGAACTATGTCAGATGAATTGGGCGTAATATCTGTACTCCATCGAAGATCTCGGTCCGTATAATTCCTATGTTGTCTCGGATACTCTCATGGTACATCTTTTTTATGTTTATTTCTTATTTATTCTTATTTATTTCTTATTTATTTCCTATTTGGTTTTCTCCTTTTTTATTCTTATACTGAAAGTCATCCCTTTTTTTTAAATGGTTGCGTACGTACCGTACTTACGTATGTACTTAGTACTTGGAAAAAAAGATTTTTCAGATATAGTTACAAACAAAAGTCTTTATTCCCATTGTAACTTTGTGAACTTTTAAGTTTTTTCTTTATCACGTGATGGCTTTTTTTAATGGGTTATCGTCAATCATCGTCAGAACATTACTACCATATCATATTATCATATATATATATATACGTATAACTTATTATACTATTACATTATTAATTCTGTTAGGTATACTGAGAATGCATGTTCAGTAAACATCCATCCATTGCGACATCTTCACGTAAGTCACTTTTTAATATTTGCCTACTTTATCTTTCTTATTCAAGAGTGTAAACGGCCCTATCGAAGCTCTAAAGAATTTTTATAAAAGCTATATTCTAAGAGTCAAAAAGTGGCCAAAACTAACTCTGAAAAAAGGATCTCTTCTTCGGTCGTTGCCAAATATTATATAAACGTCTGAAAAGGCGGTTATTTGTGCAACATTACCCTGAAGAGCTACATATTCATTACCGCGAAAAAAAAAACTATTGATCGTTCTATTATCTTATTTTACTTATTTGACTCTTTTATGATTAAAATAGGTAATTTTTGGAAATTCAAGGATATCTGTCCTTCATATATTACTATTTTCGCCGCGAATGATTTCCCAGAAACTTGGATTTTTTTTTTCCGTCAGGGAACGTGGGATCTTACGATTTACGGTGTTTTTTTGTAATAAATGTATATTCCTTAAAATAGCAGTAAATCACAGATCCTGATGTCCCTGGTTTCTGGTATAGTTGTTAGTCGAAACTTGGTGGTTTCTCGCTAACAAATGCGAAACCTAATTTCGTCTTTTGTCAATCAAACCTTTAAATGACAAAATAACTCAGCCAATGGAAAGTATATTTGCGCGTCAAATTTGGAATGGCGTAAATTCAAAATTGAGGTATTATATTGAGATTCATTTCTGAGACATATTAACCTAATTTTTTATCTTATGTGTCTGTTTAAAATGTGTAATTAAAATAATAAAACGATTCTTTATATATTTGCACCCATTTACAGTAAACAATTAGTAACTATTCATCTATTTATGCAAGCTCTTGTGCTAAACCATTTTAAAATCTGGCATAAAGATTACAAAAAATATATAAGTTCATTTTATCCCATGAATACTGCACGTTCTTACAATCATATCTGTTAAAAGAAGCATCACTAAAGCAGAATGCTAATATACTTATTAGAACGATGCATAAGTATAAAAGGAATTGTAATGCCAACAAATAAAAGTTGCAAAAAAACTTGATGGTGGAAACATTATTTAATCCAACGAAAATCAATTATTTTAATCTTTCCATCTCGTTTACTACTTGCAAACAGTGAAATAAAGAGTATTGCTTTTGAAAAATTTAATCAGATATAATCATATTCGTTTAATATTTGACATACATATGATTGATTATGCTATGATATCTCAAATTTCAATCTAAATGCAAGACCAAGTAGCATCACCTTCAATTCGATTGGTTGAAATGTTCTTAATAATTTAATTATCCACGTACTACATTTAACTAGTTTGATTGGTTAAATAAATTTGAATCTCAAATTACATACGTAAAGTAATATGAATTTAAGTGCAAGGTTTTTTATTCTTTTTATGCTAGTAATACCTTACCATGTAGCATATCTTGCGATTCGCCATTGTTCATAATGTTCACTTTTGTCGACTCTAGACTGGACTATTGAAAAATCAGCTACAGTGCAGGAATACTTAAACCAACATATAAAATTAACAATTTTTAAAATTTTATAAAAAAATAAAAAATATAGTTAAAGTAATTTTTTTCTATAAAAATATACAACAGAATGAGTAGAACAAAGCTATGAAGTTTGTTTTTTAGTATAGCAAAATTTGATAATATGATTTTTATTTAAAATTATTAGTTAAAATAAAAATTTAACCACATATATATAAAAACAAAATTTTAAAATATTAGCCAATTAAATTTAGTAGTTTGTCTCAAATTTGGTCACTTTTAAAAAAGTTGAGGTTTAAGAATTTCCACACTGTAGTGCAAGCAAACAGATTATATACTATATAGTATACTAGTATAAATAAAAAAAACAAAATAATCTTGATTTTATTTAAAAGTTTTAAGTAATAGCTTTCATGTATTAAATCTGGCTCACAATCTAATAATGTATTTATAAAAAGTTTGCTTTGGTTAGTTTTTTTAACGTATAGCAATCATATATAGATTAGTAGTTATAAAAATTTTGCTTCTAAATAAAGTAACTAAAATCTTTGATTTTTTTTGCATAGCATCTTTTCGAAGTTGAAAACATTTTTTACAGAAATTTTTGGGTCGGATCCAGGCCAGCATTTAGCAATACAAGTTAACTATTTTGGGGCAAAAATTATCAGATGGGCAGTTTTACTTAATGAGTAGGCCATAACTTCATTAGTAAAACTTTTAGTTACTTCCAGCCCCGCCGATCATTATCCCGAGGTATTCCGATCCGTACGTGGTTGAGATCAGTGTAACCGAGCCTAAACCCGAGCTTCCGAAGCAATTAATTATGCCCGGAAATCACCAAATTTTGGCGAATTTTGCTAACAAACCCGCTAATCGATAAACTAAATATTAGTTAGGCCCGAATCCGTGTCATCCGATCGAAGTCCAGAGGCTCGGATTACACAAATATCAAAATTTTTTTAATCTACGTACGAAGTTAGAGAAGGTCTTGATTTTTTTTTGTGAAATGTTACATTTTTAAAAAGTACTTTAAAACTGTATAAATTTAATTGTAAGAACTTAACCAATCAGAAGAAAGTTAGCCTATAACTAACAGCCCAATATGCACATTATAAAATTTTAGATTATTTCACATTGGTTTGTTTATTTGATACTCAAATTTTCATCATGGAATTCATATTTCGCCGAGGTTTTGTCAATAATTTCGTCTTTCGTAGGAGTTTCACCAATTTCGCCCCTCGAGAGGTTAAAATTTGACTTTCACCTTATAAAAATATGTTCTAACAACTGTATAGTTTCCTTAATATAAAATTCTTTTATTAAAAGAATTTTCAATGCTACATATCAAATCTGACGGATCCGTGGACGAACCTTGCTGTTGAAGAATGGTACTTTCTCGATCATCGAAATGACAAAAGTAGTCACGTGATTACTTACATAAAATAAAGGTTATTTAGGCATACTGATCCTTCGACTGTCTTACTTTATTTATGGAGAAACGTTGGTTGTGTGGTAATTGGAAGAAATCAGGTAATTTGAAATCATACAAGAATATCAACAATAATGGTAATAATGATAATTTAATTGTAGAATCCATGGAAAGAATGTAATGTTCGCCTTTTACGGAATGACAATATTCCTATTATACGAAGAAAAAGTGGTGGTGGTACAGTCTTTCATGTAAGCCATAACTTTTATTCTTGATCATTCCTCGTAAAACTCAATCTAATTAACAATGCCATCAAAAAAGGATCTTGGAAATACAAACTACACCGTGATAACTCCTCGTCGAAATTTTACTCGTAAACATTCGGCTGAATTAGTGGCACTTGCTCTTAGAAAAAGACTTAATATTCCTGCACATGTTAACGAAAGACATGATATTGAAATTGAAGGCCTTAAAATATCCGTTTTTTAATAAAACATTATGTGTATATTAATATTATATAGTTACTCCTTAATATTATTATAATGTTAAATATAATCTTATTTTTGTTTAATACGTCTCTGGGTCTGCGTTTAAAATAATATCTACTCGAGCATATCATCATGGTACTATGTTAATTGACACTGATTTAAGTCAAATTGGTCGTTATCTTGAAATAAAAAAAGTATTTATCTATCTACCTATCAATTCCTTGTTTCGTTAATTACTTATCAATCATTTTCATTTTTTTTTTATTTCTGTCACCATTCAAATATGATTATAATAGAATTTGGTTTCAAAAGGTGTTGAATCAGTTTCATCACCTGTAACAAAACTTCGAAACTACTCTTTAACCGTAAATCACAAATCATTTTGTGATGCGGTATTACAAGAATTTTTTGCTCACTATCGTGGAGACATGAATAATGTAACTAATAGTTATATGCAGGTAACATTCTTAATTTGTTTTATTAACTCGTTTGATTTATTTATTTATTTATTAACTTATTATTGACTTATTTATTATTATTTACGCTTTTGGAATTTTTTTTTTCAATTGCTTAAATGAGCCGATAATCATTGAAGAATTATTACCAAACAATCCTAAAATTTTAGATTATCGTGATGAATTAAAGGTTAGTAATACAAATTTTATGAATATCGAAAATATTTCATAACCTAATTTATATATTAGTCTTGGGACTGGACATTCGGTCAAACTCCTGAATTTTCTCTTGAACTTGAAAAAACTTTTCCTTGGGGTCATGTGGTAAGCATATGGGCTAAGTGCTGGAAAAAGGGACCAAATTGTCAATTTTTTCAAAATGAATTTTTAACTAATTTAGCTCAGGAACATTAAAGAAAGAAATATATTTTTTGTCAATTTGGTCCTTTTCCCAGCACCTAGCCAATATTATCTGTTTATTTATTATGATTATACACTTTTTCACTACTGGGTACAGTGTTGGGCTCTGGACCAAAAGTCCGCTCTACTGGACTTATAAACTGGACCACTGGACTATAAACTGGACCACTGGACCTATAAGTCCAGTTCCAACACTGACTGGGTACCCTTATGTCAAGAAAATCCCGGGCTGAAGATCGCTGAAGATCACTTCCGACCATATCCGGATCCAATAAAATCACGGGATCTCGTGTAACAAACCAAAACGCGAAAAACATAAGAAATTGTAAAAAAACGTAACACAAAAATTTACTATGATGACTAACTTCCGACCTCTAAGTAAAAGTTTTCAGAATGAAATTTTACTAATGAGATATGATTGTTAATGTTAGATATATAGAGAATTTTTGATATACTACGACCCATATCTTTTTGGCCGGCAGCTCGGAATTTCCTTGACATAAGGAAATTCTTCACTACTAATAGTTTTGTGTCTTATCAATAAAGAAAGCTTTCATAAAATCTAAAAATGGGTTCATATCTGCGATAACTTTATCTCCATCAACAATAAAGTATGAAAATTTGATTAGTACTTTAGAAGATTCGTTAGAAGGTAATTGTAAAAATTTTACTTTATACGTATCGATTTATTTTTTAACATAATCAACATTAGGCACAAAATACGATCCTACCTCAGTATCTCAATCACTTTCAACATTAACGTTATCAGACATTCAATTGATGCCCATATTGAATGATCTTCAAAACTGGATACAGAATTCTCTCTAATTCATGTATGCATAGGTCTTATCTTAAAGAATTTATGATTCCGGTGATGATGTCAACTTTTTTACATGTTAGACTTCTGAAATTTTAATTTGAAAGAAAATACATTATACTGAGGAATCATTGTGTTCTTTTTATTTATTATTCAGTTACATGTTATAATAACAATGCTAACATTATTTAAAAAGATGCAGGTGATACAAGTTATAACGAGGTATGTATGGGAATAGGGATTGGAACCGTTTAGCCGTTTAAAAATTGCTCCATGGTTCCGGGCAGAATTATGTTGGACGTGGAACAGAATTATTTAATGCCGGCCAAATTAAACGGTTAAATGATTAAGAAAATTTTAGACGGTTCTAATCCTTATACGTGAATATGCAAAGAATTACTTAATGCAGCTCAATTCATTCTTCAAGATCATCCAACACATCCTTGAAACTTTTACATTGAATCTGAAATTCGGCAAATTCTTCAATAATTGTATTTCGCTGATCTAACATTTCATTTCCACTTAGATCTAGAACAATTCTTCCTTTCTGGGTCATTTTAGTAAGCATCAGATGAAATTCGTGCAACCGTTTAAGAGTATTATTCTGTTGTTCTATAGCTTTGCTTAATTCTTGTTTAGCGGCCAGCGCGAACCCGAAAGCAAACCCATTCGTAACAAACAAAGCTGCTTCACAAACCCTCTGTGGTGCAGTATAGTACTTTTAGAAATTATTCATAACATTAAATGAGTTATTAACACATACATACCTGTACCGTATTATGAGTTTTATACTTTGAGACACCATAATAAACTTCAAAAGCAGCAACCCTTAATGATAAAAGTGTTAATATCATTTAGAATAATAATTCAAAATAAAATATCGATTATAGTACGATATTTCGAGAGCCATCTCCCTAAATAACATTATATCGACTAAATCGACCAGCATTAAAGTTAGTGCCGGCTAGCTTTGTCTTTTGGGAAAATGGCTTTCGAAAAATAATATTTAATGTAGGAGATGATGCTGGGGTCTTAATTTAAAACATAAGCTGCTACAATCCATCTATACTATTTATTAAAAAATCCCCCCCAAAAATAAATAAAAATAGAAAAAACATGTGCCCAAGAAATTTTAAAAATAGTATATTAAAATAAGGTCCTACTTTCTACATCACTTAATTTCAGCATCATCTCGACATTTAATAAATGATTGTATAATTATTAGCTTACCCTAAATGTACCAATGCTCTAACTTTTGCACCTTTTTCTTCGGTTTCAATTTCTTTAAGATATTCATTACATTTGACCGATATTATTTCTGTTAGTTTCATCAGGTCTTCAATTGCTTTTACGAGAATATCTAGGCGAGCTGTATATTTTACAAGTATTAGACAAATCTATGATAAACAAATGATGAATTTATGATAAGTTTATATGAAAATATGCCCACCAGATATTAAGTCGTACTGCTCCCTGTCGATAATGGTCAATATGTTTTCAATAATTAAACAAATATGATCAACATAAGTTATAAAATAAGATTTCTCTGCCGATATTATTCTTTTAAATTGTTCATCTGAATTCTTTAGATTATTGAATGATTTATAAATATCTCTGAAACCTTCTATTAGAGTCCATAAACTGAGAATCAAATGTAAACCTAAATCAGGAGACTATGTTATACAATTAAAGTCAATTAACGTAACCTATTGTAGCTTCAAAGAAAAATATAGCTTGACTTACAAATTTGTTTTCCAGTACCACACTCCTTAAATTATTATCATTAATTAATTCTGCTAGTTTTCGAAAAACAGTTCTTATGATATTATATCTGAGTCTTTGATCCATAGCGGATATCAAAATACCAACTCCTTCAATAACATTCAAAGATGTAACACGTCTTGGAAAGATAGAATGAAAAAGACCTTCCAATACATCAGAGGCTTTATTAAAAAAAAAAAAGGTTAGAAAAAAACCAATATAAATAAATAGAAATGATGTATTAAATAACATACGTATATCATTCTTTGATTGAAATAGTAATGCCATTTCATGTAATTTCCTAGTAAGCCATTCAACATCACCGAGATCTAGTATACCTGTATCTTCCACTATATCATCATCCCCACTTTGATTCGATGTGGAACAAGCGTTTGGATAAATAATATTGAGCGTAATCGAATCAGTCGGCACCCAGTCCATAAGACCATTTTCCGATATATAATACAGATTTGTAGTGGCCTCGCGCAACAAGTTGATCACATCTGAATGTGTTTTGTTTGAAAAGTGAATTTTCACCTATATTTTGGAAAATGAATACTATATTAATAAATGACTTGGAAAAAAAGAATAATTAGTTAATAGTCACATACCTTAGCTGAGGAACCATTATATTCTGAGACTTCAATTGAGTAATATTGTTTAATCGATTGTGGAACAATTAATGCTGACAAGATAATACTGTCGACTGGCTCCTATTAAAATATCAAAGAAATTATTGCAAAGAAAAAAAAAATAAGAGCACACTTTCAATTAAGACAAATTCTACACGATCAATTTTAAAAATGCACAAACCTTCAAATTAAAAACCTTGAAAGAAGAAAAGTTTCTCGAGTCTTCTTCTAATAGGTTGGTGTTTTCTTCAACAAATAAAAACTCATTATTGTGAAGCAATGCAATTGGTTGTCTAGTTTCCATTTCAAATGAAAAGGTGATTTGCTGCGCTTCCAGTCGCGTACAAAGTAGAACAATGAAGTTTAGGATTATTGTATCAGAATTTCTTTGAACCTAGCTGCCGCAACACATATTCTCGATTTTGATTGGCTGTACATAGGTTGTGTTACATAAATTACAATTTTAGGTTAGAAAGCCAAATTTCATGTAATTTCCATAAGTCAAAAGTTTCGGCCAGTATTATTGCATCATTTGATTTGAATGCTAAATCGCCGAAAATTTGATCTCAAAAACTAAGTCATGTGTTCAAAATTACAATTTTACATCTCTAAATCAAATCTGGTACTTTATTTTCTGAAACTTACATAAATTACATGTAATGTAAAAATTTCTATTTGGAATGAGAAAGTCAATTCCGGCCGGAAATTAGTAAACAATTATGTAATGCGGGCCAAAATTCTACAGATCCACAAACTTGAATTTTATATAAATTATAATTTTTCTCTATATAATTAATTACATTTTACATACCAATAATTAATAGTCAGACCTCTCTATAATCACTTTCTAAATAGTCACATTTCCTTATAATCACATAACATTTATAAAATTTGACCTCTATATAGGCACAAACTCTATAAGCACCAAATTCTTAAAACCAAGGATGTGATTATAGAGAGGTTTGACTGTATACGTTAAATACTACGTATGTGTAAACTAATAAATTTTCTTTCTAATATACCTAAGGTGTTGTATATATATATTTTCTAATACGTATATATTTTTTAAATGTTAAATATTTTTGTTGATTCCATATATATACTTTTACTTGTATCAGGAATAGTTTTTGTGAAAAATATCCCATCACTCTTCACATTGTTAATATAACCCAAACATAATATACTGGTTGACTATGATCTCTAACCTAAGTAGTAAAGTAACTAAAAATTTTTATAGTAAATAAAATTTATCTTGTGACAACTCTAATTCTAGTTTTGTAAGATTGGTATCTCAAAAATTAGGTTTGAAAATAAAATCTAAGTGTTCTTAGAAATTATAATATCAAAAGTATTTTAAAAACAAATATAAAAATTGTTTAAAAGAAATTAAATTCATTAATAGGGACCGAATTTTTGAATCTTCAACTTTGATTGTTCAAACTTTTATTGACCGTTGGAGTTGCTTTTTATAATCTTCAATAGATCCTTTAAATGGTACTACAGTCTTATCTTTACATAACCGTATATCTTGCGCAACTTGAGATATAAGACGAAAATCATGAGATACTAGTACTACTCCTCCAGAAAATGATTGAATAGCCTGTGCTAGCGAATCGATACTTTCCATATCCTAATTCGCGTTGAGTTTGAAGTAATTGAAACATTTAAGTAAAAATAAATCGAATCATATTTATAGTTAAAGGAAACTTACCAAATGATTAGTAGGTTCATCCATAAGTACAATATCGGGAGTGGACAATACCAATTCAGCGAAAACTAATCGAGTCTTTAAACCGTCACTCAGAGTTTTGATCAGTGATGTTTGATGAGCCCCTGTAAGACCGTATTTGCCAATTTGGTTACGCCAAAACTAAAAATAATGATCGTTTTGAGATTATATTAAGAATAAATATGTTAAGAAAAATTTATAAAAGACTTACATCAACATCACCCTTCATATGAGCAAATTTTTTTCTCATATATTCAATAGGGCTCAAATCCATTTCGAGTTGGTCAGCACTATGCTGACTATATTTAGCCAATTTCAAGTTTGTATGTCGAGAAATTCTTCCTTTGACGGGTTGAAGTTCACCCATCATCAACTTGAGTAAAGTTGATTTGCCAACACCTATGATAAAAAAAAAAAAATTTAAATTAAATTGAACTTTAGGAATAAGAACAATAAGAATAAATAAATACCATTTGGGCCTACGAGGGCGATTCTGGAATCCATATCAACAGCGAGATCAAGATCCTTATATAAGAGGTCCTTTGGATTGGAACTTCCATTATAGGAGAAAGAAACTTCGTCAAATTGTAATACAGGCGGTGGAAGTTTTTCAACATCTGAGAATTTGAACTTGAATGTTGATGGAGTCTCTACCTATGAAATTTGTGGAATGCTATATAAGAATTTATTCACGTGTTAAAGAATAAAAAGCGATACTAACCTTTTCAATTAATCCAGCAGCCTCCATTTTATCTATAATTTTTTGCTTACTTTTGGCTTGCCTAACCAAATTTGCATAAGTACCAGCCGAAGCAATGAATTTCTTGATATGGGCAATTTCATCTTGTTGTTTATTATATGCTTTCATTTGATTTACTTCTAATTCAGCCTTAGTTTTCACGAAAGTAGAATAACCACCACCATAATAATTTAATTTCTTTTTTTCCTATTTGTGAGATAAATAAAGTTCACACCGTTAAAGGGAAATAAAAGATTATTTTTGCGACAAGTTTATGAATGAAACGAAAACTTACAGTTAAATGTATTGTTTGATCGCATACACCGTCAAGAAAATCTTGGGAGTGACTGACTAACAATAAGATACTAATAAGTGCAAATATATTAAAATTTAAATATTTTAAATATATAATAAACCAAATTTATACATTGAATATACTTACCGATTGTATGTTTTCAAATATTCCTCAAGCCACACACAAGCTTCCAAATCCAAATGATTGGCTAGTCAAGAATACGATATCAATGTTAATTATAGAGGAAATATTAATATTAACTTAAAAAAAAGAGAAATAAAGTAAATATAATTACTAGGTTCATCTAATAACAACAATGTGGGCTTAATAAATAAGGCTTTTGCCAAAGCAACTCTCATTCTCCAACCACCAGACATATCTTTAGTTTTCTTGGCCATCATGGTTTGCGAAAAACCTAGACCATAAAGTAAAGTGCTGGCACGAACATGAAACGTCGACTCATCAAGAGCTGCAATTCTATCATAGAGATCTTCTAGTCTAGGATCTTCATCGTTTTCCGTCAACAGGTCTTCGACTTCTTTTTCTAGACTATGTAAAATATAAATTAAAATATAAATTAAATTAAAATGAATAAATGAATCATCATTTTATAATCAATCAATTTTAAAAGATACTTACCGAACGATCTCATCCTTTGCAGCTTGAATGACATAATCGATGGCATTGAGATCACACGGGTCCGCTTCTTGATTTAATAAATAGACCTGTTAAGTAACATATAGAGAATATAGTTATTAATAAGAAAGATGAAGTCAGTGATCTTTATAATTTTCAATGATAGAGCTTACATCAATGTGTTCCGGAATTGGAACCTCTCTTGCAGCCAAAGATGCTAAAAAAGTGCTCTTTCCGCTACCGTTTTGACCTACAAGACCATATCTAAAAAATACGGAATGGACATAAAATTAATAAAATAAAAAAATAAAAAAAATAAAAAAAAAGATAAAATCAAATCAAATCAAATAGAATGTAAACACTATAATCAAAAAAAAATTACCGTCTGCCAAAATTAAGTTCAATTGTGGCGTTTTCGATTAGCACACGGCCAAAGAAAGACAAACTATATTGTTCGATCTTTATGTCTTTTGCCATTGGCTGCGATGTTAAAACGCCGTTTGCGGTCCTTTCTCCAGAGATCTTTAGTGAATTAAGGGATAGATCGGCTGCTGCAGTAGAGGTGTTTTCTTTTTTAACTGCTGATCCAACACCATTGACAGTACTTTCAGCAGTTGCCTTTGTAGCTGTAGTAGAGCCACTCTTGGCAGCTTTTTTTGCCATGCGTTTTTGCTTTGAAACCGACGCCATCGTCACGGTAAAGGTGTAAAATGGTTAAGATGAAAGAAGAAGCTTCCAACGAATGTGTGTCAAAGTACCACCGTTGTGGACGTCTGAACAAATCGACAGCTTTTTTTTTCAAAACTTTTTTTTTTAAGATAGTAAACCAAGTGAAATTAAACAGTCTTATATACTTGCTCCAAACCACGTGAAGCTTATCGCAGCCTGGGTAACTTATTTATACATTTTAAAGTACTTTTTGTAAAAGTAACATCTATATATAGATTAGAAAAAATTGGCATATGCGCATTGGATGGTTATTGTAACATTTATGCATATTATCTCCGTTTAATGACGGGCAAAAAAAATCTAACGTTACGTAATAATAATTTCACTATCGCTATCGTTATAACTATCGCTATACCAGCTATATATGAGTACTAAATGCACGGAAAACATTCAACTAAAAAAGATTTTGACCCTTAAAAAAAAGATTTATTATGTTATAATAACACTCTTACAGGAGTCAATTTACTGCGCAGTTTGGGTCAAAGTACTATACTAGATGAATAATGTTGATTATATGGGCTGATTTTTTTTGAATAACTTTTGATCTACGTCTACCAGTTCGTCTTAAATGGAACAAATACCAAAATGTTCATCTCATTTAAGACGAAATGGTAGATGTAAAAAAATTCAGCCCATATGTTGTAGCTGAAATTTAAGGTCCCAATTTAAATCTATAATACCTACTAAAATTCATATATGGGTGCTTCAGAATGAAAACCTGGAAGTGATATTTAAGTTTTCACCGTAGCGAGCTTAAACCCTGAAATATTATGATGTTATAGATTGATATTGATGATCGGTGTTTGATTTGTTTCAAGAATTTAGAATATATTTACCTGGTAGAGATGAATCAATACCAATATGTAACATCAGGGTTTAAGTTCGCCACGGTGAAAATTTAAATATTCACTTCCAGGTTTTCATTCTGCAGCACTCATATACTCTTTTATTAATAATGCTAACCTTAAATCCTAACATAACCCTAAAAAATAGAGCCCACACAAAAGCCAAAAAAAAAATTTAAATTTTAATAATAAACTAGATTAAAATTTCAGCATTAGCTGCCACAATAATTAAGAATAGTAATAAACTAAAATGGTTCCAATAGACCGTAATATAAAACAATGGAATACACTAGTGTATACCATAACCCTAACTCTAACTCTTAACTATCTT